AAGATGCCCACGGGCCCGACGGAGGCCGCGCAGCGCATGAAGGAAGAGAACGCTAGTGGAAAGGGCGGGAGGTTTTCGAAGAAGCGGAAGCGATCGGACGACAAAGGAATCAACTTTAAAGAGTCGCCCACGAAGCATTCGACGATTATCTTCGCCGCGACCAAGCACCATGTCGACTACCTGTATTCCCTGCTGAAAGAGGCAGGATTCGCTACTTCCTACGCTTACGGTTCCCTCGACCAGACGGCTCGTAAAATCCAAGTGCAAAACTTCCGTACCGGCATTTCCAACATCCTGGTCGTCACCGACGTTGCGGCCAGAGGTATCGATATCCCCATTCTGGCTAATGTCATCAACTACGACTTTCCTTCGCAAGCCAAGATCTTCGTCCACCGTGTCGGTCGTACCGCGCGTGCTGGCCGCACCGGTTGGAGTTACAGTCTGGTCCGCGATTCCGATGCGCCCTACCTGCTCGATCTGCAGCTGTTCCTTGGCCGGCGACTGGTCCTCGGTCGGGAGCATGGCGAAAGTGTCAATTTCGCCGAGGACGTGGTTGTGGGAGGATTTCCCCGCGACGGCCTGTCTCAGAGCTGTGAGTGGGTGACCAAGGTCTTGGATGATACGGTAGATATTGCGGCGCAGCGCTCCGTCGCCAGCAAGGGTGAAAAGCTCTACTTGCGTACGCGCAATGCAGCGTCTCTGGAAAGTGCCAAGCGCTCGAAAGAGGTGGTCTCATCCGACAACTGGACCGCCCTGCATCCTCTATTCAACGATGAGACCAGTCAACTTGAAGCCGAGCGCGAGAAGATGCTGGCGCGTATCGGAGGCTACCGGCCCAACGAGACCATCTTCGAAGTGAACAACCGCCGCAGCGGCAAGCCCGAGAACGAGGAGGCGCTCCACACAATTAAGCGTGTCCGAACCACGCTCGACTCGAAGAAGAAGCGCGCCCAAGAAGCGAAATCGGAATTCGACAACGACGACGACGATGTGCCCACCAAGTCCGGAGACGCCGAGGCCGAAGACGCTGACGGCGCCTTCTTAGACGAAGACGAAGCCGGCGAAGGTGCTGCCGACAACATGTCACTTGCCTCGGAAACCGACCTCGAAGTCACCTTCTCCTCTTACAACCAGCCCAGCAACAAAAAGGCCAAGAAAGACGCCAGCGCCACCTCCTTCCAAAACCCCGAATACTTCATGTCCTACACCCCCAACAACACCAACATGGCCGAAGACCGCGCGTACGGCGTGCACTCCGGCACCAACGCCAACTTCGCACAAGCATCCCGCGACGCAGCCATGGATCTGCTCGGCGACGAAGGCAGCCGCGGGTTCGGCGAGCCTCGCACCATGATGCGCTGGGACAAGCGTCACAAGAAGTACGTGTCGCGACAGAACGACGAGGACGGATCGAAGGGTACCCGTCTGGTACGTGGTGAGAGTGGTGCCAAGATCGCTGCCAGCTTCCGCAGTGGACGCTTCGACGCGTGGAAGAAGGGCAAGCGACTCACTCGTCTGCCGCGTGTGGGTGAGGCTGAGACACCGGGTCTCGGGGCGGATCTCAACCATTACCGCGGTGGTAGACGCTTCAAGCATAACAAGGAGCAGGCGCCGAAGCGGGCTGATCCGCTCCGTGGCGATTATGATAAGATGAAGAAGAAGAACGAGGCGGCGAAGGAGCGCCAGTTGGGCAAGTTTGGAGGGGCCGCGGCGGGTGGTAAGAGTGAGCTGAAGAATACAGATGATATTCGGTTAGCTAGGAATTTGAAGCAGAAGAGACGCGAGAAGAATGCTCGGCCGTCGAGGAAGAAGTAGTGTGACTTGAGGCTTGTGGTTTGTGTGCTAGGTTTTGCATATGTAGATACCATGTTAGATAAAAGTGATAATTATACCAGGAGTCTGAATATAACTGGCATGATGTGATGTAGACTTAAACACTGAGATTAGAACATCCTAGCACTCCGGTCTCCTCATCCCATTTTCTTTCGTCTTTCTTTCTCTCTTGTCTCCATGGTTTCGTCTGATATACTTCTGGGTTCCCAACCCCAATGCATCCCGGCACTCCCATGTCTTCATCCCATCTATCATCTTCATCTTCCTTTTTCTCTTCCTGTCTCGCTTCCTTCTCCTGATACTTTCCTATACTCCCAACGCCAACACACCCCATCACCCCCGTTTGCTCATCCCACCTCTCCTCATCCTCTTCTTCTTCTTTCTCTCCCTGTTTCCCTTGTTCCTGAGCACCCCTGATACTCTGACCACCAACACCAACACCAACACACCCCAACACCCCCTCCTCCTCATCCACCCTTTCCCCCTCTTCCCTCCTCCTCATAACCTCCTCATACTCCCCAATATCCCTCACCCCCACCGGCATCCCATTACTCCCCAACCCCTGCTCCCTCATCAACTTCTCCCTCAACACCATCGCCCTCTTCCACGACTCCCTCGCCTCCATCCGTTCCTGCCACGCCTTGACCCACGGATACGGGCTCAGTATATCCTCATCGTCATCGGACGGAATCAACATCCCCAACTGACAATTCCACGGGAGGAAAGCCAAGTCCGCGTACGTGCATCGCTCACCAACTAGCCAATTTTTCCCCGTAAGGATGGTGTTGAGCACTGATAGGATACGGTGCACTTCGGTCTGGTAGCGAGTTATGGCGGTGGGGAGTTTTTCGGGGGAGAGGGTGGAGAACCTATACACATTTAACAACACATTCAACAGGGGATGGGAATGGTGATTGTGGGGAAAGAAGGGGTGGGTGTACCATCCACACTGCCCATAATATGGTCCCTGCCCACTCATTTGGAACTGAAGATATTGGTTTAGAAGATGTTTCTCGGGGATGTTGGTCGGTGGGAAGGAGAGTTTGTGGGCCGGGTCGTAGCGGTCGATTAGGTATTGGATTATGGCGCCGGATTCCCAGAGGGTGAAGGGGTGGTTAGGATCAGTGGGAGAAGGGGTGTTGGGGTCTTGGATTGCTGTATTTTTATTAGTTATTTGGTAAGTTAAATTAAATTTATACTATCGTGGTGTTGTGGTATATGGTTGGGCTGCCGTGAGGGGGAGGTATAGTGTGGGGTAATAGTGAGGGGATGATGGGATGGACACATACCCGGTACACGGCCATTGGGGTTGATGTTGATGAATGGGGGTTTCTTGACGTCTTCGAAGTCGAAGGAGTTGATTTTGTAGGGGATATTGAGTTCTTCGAGAATGACGATGACCTGGTAGTAGTAGTAGTAGCAGTTTATTAATTAGGTGGAATGGTATGTGTGAGTGCTGTGGGGGACTGACCTTCCAGGGATTGGGACCGGAAGCTATACATTATTAAAGAAGAATATTGTTAGTATATGAGGATAGTAGATAATATTAGTGGATGGAACGTACGGGTTATCCAGACTGTAATGGGCTTCATGTTTGTCATGGTGAGATTCTTAGTAGTAGTATGTGTAGAGTAGGTGTAGTTAGTATGCATGAGGGGAAAAGGAAAAAGCAGGGAGTAGACAGCTTTATGTACATTCGCTGGCTCTGACATGATGAGGCTGTAGCCTGAACTGGGTCGAAGGATGATTAGCGTGTGGCTGAATTGATTAGAGGAATGGGGTGAGCTGACTGTGTTTGGGGGCCGTTTCTTATCGGGAGACTGTCAGATGGTTACTATATCATCTCGTAAATATACTCGATCATAAGTCTGAGAAATAAAAGAGTGGAGTGATTGATTGCAATGCTAACTATTAATTAGTAGAAACAACTGAGACAACGACATAATCACTGCAAAATAAACTCATCTAATCATGCAATCCCACCATCGCCAACGAATCTCTCCACAACCGCTCCTCTCCCTCCGGCCAATACGTATAACTCAGAATCGACCTCCCAACATTGCCATCATACTCTCCATCCTCTGCCTCCGCACAATCAGCCAAATACTTCCCCCCTTTACCCTCCCACTCTCTCCCCACAGCAGCCCACAGCGTAGTCGCCGCACCCTGCTCCGTACTCTTCGCGACCCTACCCACCGTCTCATCAGTCAACAGCGCCTGAATCTGCTCCTCCGAAAGATACCTCCCCAACCCAGTAGCAATAATCCCAGGATGCAAACTCAACCCATGCAGCCCCTGCCCTCCATACCGCCGCTCGATTTCACTCGCCGTATAGATATTGGCCGTCTTGGACTGTCCGTACGCAACCAACGGATCATATCCCCCCTTCTGGAAATGATAATTATCCGCTTCGTTGATCCCATGCACGCGATGTCCTGAACTCGAGACTAGAACTACCCGTGAATGGAACTCGGGAGTACTCCCCGCCAGCAGGGCCGGCTCGAGCAGATTGAACAGCAGGAAGTGGGCGAGGTGGTTCGTCGCGAAGTGCACTTCGTACCCGTCCTCGGTGAGCTGGAGGTCCGGCACAGCCATGATCCCCGCGTTGCCGATGAGGATGTTCACTTTATTTGTCTTGAACAGGATGAGCTTTGCGGCCTGTCGCACGCTAGCTAGCGAGGCTTGGTCCATCTGCACCAGCTCCATTCTCTCCGGCTGGAAGATGTCGCCTAGGGCCGTGCGCGCTTTGCTCAGGTCCCGGGCTGTCAGGTACAGTGTTGCGCCGGTGGCAGCGAGGGCGCGGACAGTCTCGACTCCTAGACCGGAGGAGACGCCCGTCACGACAGCGACTTTGCCTTTGAGCTGATCTTGCATGTTGTTGTCTTGAACGATTTGAAGGGCTGTGGGTCGGGCATCACCCGGGCCCTTGGGGGTGGCGTGGACGGCAGTGTAAGACATGTTTGATGAGAACTTGAGAAATATGAAAGTGTGGTTGATGCGTGATAATAATACTACATTTTGATTGAGAACAACAGCATATTTATATTGTTTTCTGCCAGGTTGACAATGATGCAGAAAGAGAAATCTATAACAATCCAGGCAGAAGTAATGGCTGACATTATTGCCTATTCAGGTTAGCTTGACGGGGGCCATCATCTGGCTTTCATCTTCCTTTGACTTCATGGCTGACCGTTATTGCCTTTTCGGATCTAGTTCTCTTCGTGATATATACGAAGAGGGAAGATCAAGGAGATTCTACAGACTTCTTGGATATTGGAAATCCCTCCCCAGCTGACAAATCTACCTATCTCAACGATGCCGTCATCTACACCCGCAGACGAGAAACGGCAGCGTAAGAAGCTTCAGAACCGAGTAAACCAGCGAGCACGTCGTGAGTATCCCTCAATCGAATACAATCCACCAAACTAACAATCCCCTCCAGGTCTGCGCCTCAAAAACACTTACCAGCAACACAAAGACCAACCCACCCGTCCATACAGCGTCCACCGCTGGCGAGTCTCAGAACACGAGACATCGCCATCATCATCGTCATCATCGTTATCAACCTCACTAACCAAACACCACTCACACACCCCCTTTCAACCCTCTCTGAATACCCAAAACTATACCCTATCATCCACACCCAACCCACCAAGTATCCCCCCCGACCACCTCCTCCACCTAATAACCCACAATGTCTTCCGCGCCCTCTACACCAACAAAACCCTCCTGTACAACCACTCCACAGCCCTCCTGCCCGGCCCAACCCCCAACTCATCCATCCACTTCATCCACGAAGGCCTCATCTTCCCCATCTACGCCATCACCATCCCCAACACCTGTCCCTCCCCTATCCCCGCATCCCTCTTCCCGACACCCTCCCAACGAACCCTCACCCACTACTCGTGGATAGATCTCGTACCGTGGCCGCGGATGCGCGAGAATCTGATCAAGTGGGAAATGTGCTTTGATCATGGGGAGTTTGTGAGGGATTTGGTGGGGGGGTATGTTATGGAGGGGTGGGAATTGTTTGATGGTGGTTCGAAGGGGGATGGGAATGGGAGGATTGGGGGAAGGGTGGTGGTTGAGGTTGATGGGGATGACGGTGATGATGGTGAGGTTTCGGAAAATGCTAGAAATGGGTGGATTGTTTGGGGCGAGCCGCATTGTAGGGAGAGTTGGGAGGTGACGCCGGGGTTTCTGAGGAAGTGGGGGTGGGTGGTTGAGGGGTGTGTGGAGGAGGTGGTGAGGTGGAGTAATCATTGGAGGGTCGGGAGGGGGGAGGGGGAGATTAGGGTTGTTACTATGTAGTACTTGGTATGTTACTATGTTGATGTTGGCTGTAGAGTGTATTAGAGATGAGGGTATAGTTGTAGTGGAGTGTATAGTGATGTGGGTTGGTATACAATTGCGTCTATAGGTATATCATAGAGTGTCTATCAATGGCATATCATGTGTTTACAAGATGCTTTATAACACAAGTCCAATCAGGTACTAGTCTACTGAGAAAGGTATTTATATCTACTTGAACCAATGAAATTCATAACTGTTAGAACACTGAACACCTCATACCTCCTAGTAAGTCTACGCTCTAGCTGAAAGGCTAGTGGTTGAGTGATACTAACCAAGCCCTGAGGGATGCCCAATATCAGAAAGATATATCATGAGTAAAGCATGAATCAACGGGAATGCCAGTAGAATAACCTGCCGCCAACAAGATGGCAGATAAGTGGCTTGGATACGCTGGTAGGGAGTGTAGATCGACGCAGAACAAACACTGTATCTGATGATTATTGGTTTACGCCTGACACTGGAATTGAAGTATCTATCTAGAAAGCTTTCGATGATCAACTATACTGGGCTTGATTGAGCACCTGTGGCATAATACTACTGGGGAGTACATCACAATGGGCTCTCTTGCTATTAGTGCAGCTCACAACTGGGCTCTGTTAGTGCGTTGAACTAGCAGAGGTAACCCGCACCGTTATATTTCAGGAAGTGGTCATTGCGAAACAGACTGGTGTTATGGAAGAGTCGATTGACTTGGCATAATAATAGTGAGTCCAGGTATGATGATCTCTATCGATTGACATATCTGCTAACAGACTATACTAAGTTGGCAGATACACAGCTAGTACTTCAGCAGTATCAGTGCAGATCAGTCGCAATTTACAATGGGCTGATGTCTAAGCCTCATATCAGGCCGCTATAGAACAGCCATAATCACTGGCCGTCTGTTGATAATCTACCCTGCTTCAGACGGAGTATTCACCCCGTAGCAGGGCACGGGCCAGGGAGATAGGGAGCTTTCAAGTGCCGTCTAATATGCAGACATGGAAGGATCTACCTCCGTTGTCAATAATTGACTGCCCCTTCCATCGCTGGTGGAGCGAGCAATGGCGCTCTTCACGGACCGTTCCGATAAGGGATCGCTTTGACTGACCCAAAGGAGAAAAAGTTGAAATAGCGTTTAGGAAGCGGAATGCCCAAAGTTAAAGGAGCGGACACTTTGAAGTCAGACTGGGTAACTCACAACAATACTCGTCATATCCTCACCGACACTCTGCTGAATTTGCCATTATCGGACGTGCTCAACATCAACGCCCCATGCAGATGACTGGTCACTCTGTAACGCAGCACAGGCTGCCCGCCTCAACGTCCGTCATGCAGCCATGTCGCTCGCAAAATCTGGCCTCCCGGTAGACTAGATAAGTGCCACTGCCAAGGCTGAAGTCAACGCGGTCACCGTGTATCGCTCCGTCAAAGATTGTCAAAGTTTTCCTACGCAACTGCTGACTCGCGCAGACAATCACGTCCGCCCAGCTTGCAGTTTTCGATAGGGAGGTGCCGCTCCTAGCTGGCGTACTTCATACGCAGCACTAACTTGCCCTCACTGGGGCTGTCACGGGGCACGTAGCTACAGCACGTTCCACAGCAGCCACACTGAGCGCATGAGATACCATGTACAGCCGCCATGATGATGCATTCATACTCGCCACGTCGATATCGTTGGGAGGACTTATTCCGTTGGCATGCTGGAGATCACGCAACCCACCGTGCCAGCAACGAGGCTAGGCTGATTGGTTCTCTTCTCCGAAGCATCGTAAGCCGGGACCAAGAGAAGTACAAGGTCATTCCGAAGTCGTGTCGCTGCAATCCGCGTTACGGTGGCTCTTTCACTCGGTCCGCTCAAAGCGCCGTCAACACGTACGGAGTATGCACTCCCGAAGCCCAGTACCTCGGTGAAGAGCGAGTGTCCATCGAATGGCGGATCGTATTGTCTGGCTCGACTAGATCTTGCGTCAGTTGTTTATGTACGTTGTTATCGTTGGCAATGTGGCAATGCCCCCTTACCTTTTTTTTCCCTAAAATCATGACTTGGTCGTAGATTATACTACACGCAAGCTGTGTGAAGCGCAGAAAAAGTGATCGCCGTGATCTGAGGATTCTACACAGCGATATGGGGATTCGGATTGAACTATCACGCAACACTGCTGTGCTGTTACCATATCCGCGCGCCTAGACGGAGATCGAATAAAATGTACAATGTAGCCCAATCCAAAGGAACGGAACAGAAAAGATACGTATCACGATGTCCCATGACTCGGGTCGGGTTGGCAAGAAGCAGTTATATCCGAGGCGTTGCAGAGACAACTCTAGGCGTCTGCTGTGATCATTGCTCCTCGTGTCGCTCTGCGCAAACCAAGCATGGCTAGGGCCCTCTCGGGAAGACCCTTCTCGGAAAATTAAATCATATCCTTGTGTAGCCCGGACACGTACTAGCAGTTGTTGTGTGAGGTCGGATGTGCAACCAGACTGATCGCCATATGAAGCGATGGTCAACACCGGTGATTTTTGGATTAGCTTTTCCGTGTCTGAGCTTCTCGGCTTTCCTTCTCCGCTCTAGTCTCTGGTTTAGTGTGTATTCCGCCCGTTGATGTCTTAAGATGATCCGCCATGAGTCAGGCGGTCACATCGAAGTGGGTGACCAGAGATTGGAAGGCATTCTCAGCCGAGTTGTCTGAGCAAATGAGGACTGCAGTCGGATGCTGGTCCAGCATCAACTCCCGCTCAGCTCCATCAACTCCCGCTCAGCTCCAGCACCGATATAGATAGATCGATAGCTGGCGTGATAAGTACCTAGCTATCATTAGAGCCGAGTTAGTATCGGTGCGGCGTCAGTAGTCCGAGCGATAGTCTGTTTGAGCCTCGAGCAGATGACAAATAATGGGCGCCAATCGTTGCCTCGTCAGGCACTGCGTGTTTCCCAATCGGGTTGGTGTGGCCCTGGCCAAGCTAAGCCCCAATGGGGAAATGGCAGATCTGCTTCCTTCGCAGTTTTCAGCTAAACACCAACACTCAAGTCTACTAGCAATTGGAACAATCCCACTGCGTGGAGACTCTCCCATTGTAATCTCGTACGGGTGGGTGAGCTGAAAGCTCGAGCATTCGCCAGTATTACCTCTCCGGGGGAACGCGGGGATCGTGATTATAGTGGCAGACTAAGCTATCTCTCCGTACGCGTCCAGCCTGCATAGTGCATGGTGCATCATCCTTCATGGCTTTGCCCCTTACCCCATTGAGTCTAAGGATGGGGACGCGGTCGCTTGAACTATTGGCAGTCATCGGCCCCTAATGAGCAGATCCATCGTGCTGGCAGCTTCCCTTCCAGCGAGAAACAGCCAGAACCGAACCGCCCGTCTGTCCTAGCGCGTAATTTGAGTGGATTGAGATAGTTAGGCTGTACAATCAAATCCCTTGCGGGCCTCCCGCATACTAGAAAGTATGTGCCATTACTGCCAACCAACTGCCATAGCCGCCCACAATAAATGCGTCTGTGCTATGTCTTTTTGTTGCTGAGGACGGAGGATGGTTTAGGGGGATCATCTCTCATCTGAAATGATTTCCGGTCCCAATTTTTGTCTCCGAGCTCGGATTGATCCATGATGGCGCTTGGGAGGGGCTAGGGACGGTGCTGTCATATGGTAGCCCAAAACGTTAACCTGAGAAATTCCCCGCAAGTGGCTCCCGTGGACCGGCCCCAAAATTGTATCGTGACTCGGTATTAAGCAGGACTCCAGATAACATTCCCGCTGGGTCAGTCCAGGCCAACCCAAAGGAGTAATTGCAACAATTAGACCTGAAGGAAAAGGGGGGGTGGGCGGCAACCAGACAAGAGAAGGGAAAGAAAAAGGAAAGTAAATGAAAATCCCATTGTGGGTGATACACCAGCCTGCTAACGCTTCATGGCATATGCCATGGGAAAAACCGTTGTCAAAAAAAAAGCCATCCAAAGTGGTTCCTCTTGCTTCGCCCACGCGCCTTGTTCCGTGTTCTGTGCTCGGCGAATCCAGGTGGATCTTTCCGTTCATCCCAAGGGTCAGATCATCCGAGGGGGCCATTCAACTTTTTTACCCATCACCGACACTGGGGCCCCCTGGCAAAATTTCCGGCGCTCAGGTGATTGAACCATTGGGGTACACGGTCGTTCCACTGGCCAGGGCGCTGTTGCTGCAGCCACATCTTGTTTGGAAGCAAGCATCACCGTGGTTTATTCGCATGTCCCGGACAATAAGGACGCGTTGGATGAGAGCTCGACACTGTGGCTGGACATTGTGTGTGGGATCTGCCTCCCCCTGTTCGTGCTTCTCACCACCATGCAGTCTAGTCTAGACCGACGCTTCCGCGCTCTAGTATGCTTGAAGTGACAGCCTAATGGCAAGAGCGGTTAGAGCATTCTTGCATCCCAACGCGGACTTTCTACTTCTCAGCCACCAATTCCGGTGTTTATCACGCTTAACCAATTCTTATGTTGGGACTGAATCATGATCAACCATAGGTTTGCCGGGGTTTGGCCTGCAGGGCCCCAAGAGCCGACCGGCCGAATCCATCCAGACCGGCGCTGGCATAATGTGGCACATACATTCCTGAACTGGCACACACACACACCCACCCACACCCGTTAATCCACTCCGTATTAACGCTGCGTGGGTGGGACCCAGCATAACCTATTGCAGAAACCACACGGAGAATTGCGGGCTCTCAATCCAGTGGTTCGGGCTATTGAGCTGGCGTCTATTCATTGAAGCCCCAATATGTAGCACAATCCTACTGTCCAACCCCGATTAAGGAGCTTGGAACCCCCCAAGGAGGCTCCCTCAGAGGCCTCGCGAGGCATTACATTGGTCATGTCTTCATAGCGTTCTTCATCCCTTGCACGGCACGCGAACGGTCAGCCATGTGAGTGACAACACGTCGATTTGATATCAGCTATGCACCTCGCAGGCGTACTCGAGCCCTAGCAAAAGAAACATGGCGTCCGATGACCGAGACTAGACTCCAGAGCAGGCTGCAGTGCGGCTATTCTATCGTTGTCCTGTCGGCCCTGGAAGGGAATGGGGTTGCCTTGAAGCGCGATTTCCGGCACACGCCTGACCGGAGTATATACTAACCTTGATCTCAAGAGGGGAAGAGAACGACGTAAGCAGGTGAATAAAAGCAGATAAACCAATATTATTGGTGCGTATTGGCCCCCAATTATGAGACGCGCATCCCAAAAATACAGTATGAGGGGAAGCAGAATAATACTAGAGGAGACTTGCAAGAGGAGGAAGTGGGGGGAAAGAAAGCAGGCAAAGTGAAAAACATCATCACTGGAGAGATTCCGAGATGACCACGTTCTTTTCTCTCCTTTAAACCCAGTTCATACTCCAATTTTCAGTCGGGATCTAAACACACCGTGACTGTTGGATCTTGGTTCTTCCTTCCTACAAGAAAGAGAAAAGGGGAGAAGAGAAGGAAGACGACCGCCGCCCCCCCCCCCCTCCAACAAAAAAGAAAAGAATCAAGACTACGGAATACTACTACTTACTAGGTAGCGTAAGAACCACCCGAATCAAACCAAACGGTATGGAAAGACCGAGACTTGGGCGCTCTCACCAGTCTAGCAGGATCAGGACATCATTCATTCTCCTTAGTCTTATCCTGAATCACGGGGTTTGAAGGGGGGGGTAGGAGGGTGGGATGGGTACACAGGGAAAATACACAGAGAAATACACACACCGTCACCTTTTGGGTTTTACCCGCCCAATGCAATTGATGAATGAGCTTAAAAATACTGGCAGCGCAGTTGTTCATTCTCCGTCCTCATTCGGTAGCGCGTGTCAAACTGGGGACGGAATGTCCACTTCCCTCCCCTCCCAATTCTACCGAGCGGACTATTGGCAATGGGCGCCGCGGGCGGGCGTCCATGTCGATCCGTGGCTCCCCCCTTCGCCTTGCTTCCGGGCTCGCTGATTGGCACTAAATATGGAGGAGATAGTAAGGATGAGAAGGGAAAATACAAATAAGAGTAAATTGTGTGAATAAGAAAAATATTATACATATGGATAAATAAAATAGAATAAAATAAATTCAAACCGAAACGAAGTAAGAAAGAAATGACTAATCGGAAAGGGGAAAATAAAAATATAGAAAAGGCGCAAAAGGGAAAGGTAGGAAAAATGGAAGAAAAAGAAAAGAGTCGATCTTCTTCTTTACTGGCCGGTGTTCGTCCCAGTCCCAGTGCCAGTTCCAGTTCCAGCTTCCCCTCTTCCTTTTTCTCCTCCTCCTTCTCCCCATCTAGGATTCATTTTTTACCCTTTTTAGGTGGGTGTCACTGACAGCGGCATCCAGTCCCAATGGCCCATCTTATGCAAGCCACTGCTTCTGATCCAGCAGGCCGGACAGGACCAGCAAACCCTTCACTTCCTCGGCGGGAACTCCTGCTCAGCGAACAGGAAGGGAAAGATGGTCTACCATAAGACACTGAACAGTTAGAAGATCACCCAATGATAATTAATGATCAGGCTAGGATGATCAGGGGGAACAGAAGAATCAAAAAAATATCCACTAATAATGGAAGAACATCCTCCTAGCTAAATCTCAACCAGCACAGGATAGTTAAGTGGAGAAGTAAGATACAGTACTCCATAGTCATTCAGTCATTCATCACCATGTTGGTGGGAACCCATCGAAGCCGGAACCCCCCCATCCCCTCTTCCTTCCGGAGCATTGATATCACTCGTTTCTCCGAACCTCACTAATCTCCATACTCACATATTTCCAAACTCGACGGAGCCTGAGATACATTTACCCCATTTAAGATCTACTACCATGATGGAGATCAGGTCTATCGGCTGCTAGTCGGGGTTGCACTGGCCACCACTTTACCCACTCTGATTTCCCACTACGGCCGGTCGACCAAGCAAACAAGGCTTTCTCCTTCTTTCTCTCTCCCTTTCAGGGTGAATTACTTACTTTCTGCGTTGAGGTATAAGCCTTGTCACAAGCTGCGGGCAATGACGCAGAAGAGGAGGGGGGCCACTAATCTGTAATCACATTTTCTCCATTATTCTTTTTTATTCTTTTGTTAATTCTTTTTATTTTTCCATTTTAGGCCTTTTTTCGATGAGGCCCACGTCTCGGGGGAACTAGACCGCCCAGCCGGGTTCCTTCGCTCTGTTCCCCTTGGAATCGCCAACTGCCTTGGCCGTTGAAGACTTGTACTTCAGCGGCGTCGGGTCCCAGCAAAAACCTCCTATTAGTGAATGTTTCCCCTTCCCAATTCGATCATTCGGATTTTGCCCCCATTTTGTAATATTCTGATTTGACCCATCTTTAATTTGATTCTTTTATTCATTTTATCTTATTTCCTATATTCAATTTCTGACATCTCTTCCCTCTGTGTGTTGGTAACAGACTGTGAGATCCCATCGGGATTTTACGCCTCACTTTCCGGTATAGTTCACCGTTCCGCGATTTTGGCTGTTCGGGAGGGTTGGGCCAGTTCATACTTCTTACCTCTCGACTGAATTATTCAGAAAAATCTTATCCGAGCAAACAAAGAAAAAGAAAGGCAGAAATAATACGAGATTATTGGAGAGGGAATTAATAAAGAAGGGAAAAAAACCCCCCCCATTATTTTCCTTGGAGAGGAAAGAGGGGGAAGAGATGGACAGGAAAACTGAGTAAGTCAGAAAAGGAAAAGGAAAATAATAAATAGCGAAGAAATCATAAAAAGAAACAAATTCAAGAAAGGGAAAAAGGAAAGAAATAGAATAGAATAAAATAAAAAAAGAATTAAGCCCTACACGCTCATCGGTGTACTGAAAGGTAAGGTACGCCCAAATGGTGTAATTTATTTGCATCTAACTTGGTTCTTCTTGCTGCTGCTTCTTGTCTGGCTGCTGGCTTTTTGCTTTCTGATTTATTGCTTTTTTTGTTTTCGCCCATGACCATTCCGTGCATTTTCCCTGGGCCCCAGTGATCGCCCACCATGCTGCAATAAATCATCCCAGGATGGGGACCATCGAAGCTATGGAAAACTGCTGTCACGATCTGGCTTCCCTCTGCTGATCGACGCATCCTAGTTTCTGACTCCTCCAATAGTGATCCTTAACTGACTGATTATAAGCTCCCTGTGCTCCTCCCGGACCTGCAAGCGTGAGGTTTCAATGATGACTGGCAACTGAACAACACACCGCAACCCCCAAGGATAGTACTATACGAACTGAAGAATCAAAAAGGGCCCTGAGGACCAGATACTATGTTGCCTACTTTAAGATTCGAACCAGATCGCCTTCCACTCTTGTGAACCCATCCTCCCCCCAGTGATTCCATTGTCAACGGGACCAAGGTTTACCAGATGCAATCATTAGTCCTTCCTCCTTCTTCCTTCATCGCTACAGAGTTTGGACACCCCAGGTTTGATCCGGGCCCGGAGCGGCTGCCGTTGAATTTGGCTCGGTCGACAAATGCTCGTCGATATCCCCCACGGGATCTGCCTCTCCCTCGCTCTATGTCCGGTTCGGTTCCAGCAGACGACCCGCTGGACACTTCTGGACCCGTCAGGCGCCCTGGACATCCAGAGCTGCCCCAAGCCGCGACAACCGTGACCGCTGCAACCTCTGTATCCGCGGGGTTGTCGGGACCGGCCCTGCCTCCAGGACCTGCTGGCGCCGTCACCACTCACGAGTCTGTGACCCAACGTGTGGCCCCGGCCTCAGCCGACGAAGTGCTGCGACAATCCTTTTCGGTGGGCGACGCCTTCGCCTCATCGCGACTTCCACCATCGCTGGTAGGCCAGGGCATCCCACAAGCCACGCCAACAGCTTATGCGCAACCCTCCTTTGGAACGTCTCCTCCCGGTACAACGGCTCGGGCCTTGCCGCAAAAGCCCACTCGACGCACCAAAGCCCATGTTGCATCAGCATGCGTAAATTGTAAGAAGAAGCACCTGGGGTGCGATCCGGCACGGCCATGTCGAAGATGCGTTCTGTCAGGGAAAGAAGTGAGTATTATCTTATCTCTTTAGTCGCTGGCCCATCTGTAATTGAAGGGATAGCATTGAACCTCTGGATGCCCCCAAGAAAAGGCAGCGGATTCATTCGCACTGCTATTTTATGATCTATTACTTACATGAGCAGGCCACCTGTGTTGATGTTACGCACAAGAAGCGAGGAAGACCGCCATTGAAGGCGGAAGAAGCATCGCTCAGAACCTATGCAGCTCATATGGACAATCGAGCGACACAGGGAGACCAGCACGGCCCCCAATCAAGACGTACCCTCCACAGAGCTACATCTTCGCGTGAGATTCGCCCCATGACAGATCTTCAGATACCCGGGGCGCAGACGGGCGCCATGGCCATGAGAGCGTCGGCTGGACATCCACAGAGATGGGCCGCTCCCGTATACTCTCAGGCCATAGACCCGTCAATAATGCAGAGGAGTGTTGGGCACAGACGGTTTTCTTCCTCTGGCTCTGCACAGTCCATAACGGCGGCTTCTCCACCCGGGTATGTCCCGATGCCTGTTGGGTACAACCCTACATTGGGAGCGGGACGGATGCCCATGGGCATGGGAAGACCGCTATCATCTTACACACATCAAGGCATGAATCCTACAACCACGCCGCCCCAGTATCAACAGTCCTTTGTTCCAATTTCGCCCTATCCAGAAAGCGCCCGGATGTCGAATCGGATGCCAATGGGAGAATCTCCCATGTCGAGAGATCCACGGGAAGGCTATTTGGAATCGCCAGTAAGGCTTCCTCCCATTTACCCTCCCACGATGGGAACACCGGCCTCGGCGTCGCAAGGGCATCGCCTGAGCGATCCGTACCCAGGAGCTTGGTCGCCGCGGACACGAGAAGAGTTTCTCCAGCAGGAGCACCGGCAACAAATGCCTTCGCATAGTTTCATTGACCCACTGTCGCCTAGCAGTCAAATGCGACACGCCGCATCTGACATGGGGTATGGGGAGCCCGTCCCTCGGCAGTTAGGACCTGCGTCAACTTCAGAGAGACACGCAATGCACATGTCGCTTGTACCCCCCTCCGATGACCCATCAACGAACGAGGCGGACACCGAGGGCAACAGACCAGCCAAGCGGCGCAAAATGGCCTTGGATGACATGGTGAACGACTAAGTTGTTGTTCTTCGCATTATACCTCCTACCCACCAAGGTCCCGATCGAGACATGCACACCCCATTTTTTTCTAATCGCTTGAGGAGCTACGCCGTCCTTGAAGCATTGAGGCTTGTAGCAGGAACTACGAAGATAACGATCTTAATGTGCACTTTCCTTTGTGTCATGTGTGCTCAATCTCGATCGCTGACCTATTGACTCCCTCCCCCCACATCTACTCACATCAATTTCCTTTGTCTCATACACCGTGCATACAATCTCCATTTTTTTGTTTTCATTTTTGGAACAAAAAAGTACATGACCCGTCGATCTACGTTCATCATTTTCCTTTGTCAAATATTGTCACATCGCATGGATACAGGCATCGCTTCCTTCTTTATTTCTTGATCTGTTGCTGCATAGCGTGCATCTGTCTTTCTTTAACCATATACCTTGGGGGTTTTGAATGTTTTGGTCATCGTCTTAGAAGGCGTTCGGTGGAGTCCAAACATCACAACATCATCAACATCATCATCATCGGCTTGATGCTTCATTACTAAGTATTTGTTGGGGGTAAATGGGAAGGAGGAAAACTAATTGGATGTATTAATAATTTGCGGGCGATGCCGTCTACACTCGGTACTGAAGCTGCAGGGCAGATACCACAGTACAGGTCATGACTGTGAAAATACTGAGATTTGAAGTTTAACTCGTCAAGCCGATTGCTTACTGTAGCCGTAACATGCATTCCATGGCCAAGTTCTCATCCCATGATGACGGCCAACTGTTCGTTCGGAGATGGAATCCTCCCCCACCAGTCTCCTCCCTGAGAATAATCTTCACGGGAAGTATACAGTAAGTACCGTACAGATCCTTCCCCTGAATGGCCAGGGGTCCCAACTTAGAGTTCTCTTTCCGAGAGCCATGAGCCCAATCAGACAGGAGGTCCAGGCAAGGAGGCGCGATTTCCCAGATAATGAAATCACTGAAGAAGTTTCCGTTGATCCCCATACTTGTCTGCCAAATGATGTCAAACGAAGTATATCCGATCGCCACACTCCATGGCTGAGGTTCACAGTAGGGGTTGCACAGTGTGCTACAGTCGCGAGACCAATAACCTATAAGAACAAGGCATGACCGAGTGGGTTCGTCTGCAGAAACTTGGTTGAGAATGTCGATTGGAGCAAGCTGAAGTAAGGACGTGGCATGTTAGTTGAAGGTCTAGATCATCCGCTACTTCCAGTACTACTACTCGCTAAATAATCTTTCCCTATCGCCATCACGGGACCAGGAAGGCGGTTCTGTTCCACCTTTCGGTAACTTTATTTTCCTTTCGGTTTGAAGTTGAAGAATGCGTTTATTCAGCATGCGTGTTCTTCTATTTGAGGTCATGCCGTCATTAGTGATATCTCCGATGATAATGATGATATGGTGAGGCTGCAGTCTATGGCTGCGCTTCTGTGGCCAATGGGTTCTCCATTGCTTGTCATCTACACGCGTCTTGCGGAACAATTTCCTACTCACCGATACTTGTTCAAGCCATCGAAACTACTGACTGATCTATCTTTCGCGATCACCATGCTTCTAGTAATTACGTGACTGCGCTGTTCAAATCGGCTCAGGCTCTTGTTTGTTTGGCTTCTAAGCCAGGCTACCGAGCTTCAGGGACCGTGCGGCAGTCCAGGCCCAACAATCCATGTCGCACTTAGTATATTATAGGCTAGAAAGCCTATGACGTCCAGTATTTGTCTGTTTGGAGCACATCTGCAGACTGTTCCTGGCTAGCTTGCAGGGATGGCGCCAATACCACACTGCCACGCGCGTCTGAGATCTATCTTACAATTTGCTCCCACGGCCCGGAGATCTATTGCCGATCCGTGATGATTATATGTCCACGTTTCCAGCTATCTAGATCGTGTATCACAACTTCTCAGTTCGATCTTCCTTGTATGACGGCGTTGTTATCACTTTTCTTCTCAGTGTATCAGACACGCATAGCACTGGAATGTGTCTTGTGGGGAGCTCCTTGTGGTAAGGTAATCGGCAACCCCTTCCAATTTATGGAGTCGACGTGTTCCATCTGACGTGTAACCTCCAATAGTATATATATTCAAGCGCTAGCCCGACTCTCTCGAACTCAACCAGCGCATCCTCAATATTTCTTTAAGTACTAAAGATATTGTCTCTGGACATGCAAAGTGTCTGAAGAATGAATACTCTACTTATCCACCATTGGACCGCCCTTAACAACGCCCTCTCCTCCAACGATATTGGGCGCGATCTGGATGGCAAAACTCTGGACTTGGCCACCGTCGTGGCTGGTGCACGGTACGTCGTCTTTTCTTATTATGCTCCATGCAGTTGGGGAAATCTGGAAGCTGTTGTTGGGCCGCTAACACGCTGTTAGATATGGAAAACGCGTCTCGCTTTCACAAAACACCCGCAAGCAAGTGCAGCGGTCGGAAGCGGTGTTGAGGAAACATTTGGCGGACGGGGAGCTAATTTACGGTTAGCCCTTGCTTTTCCGTTGCATCAGTGGAGGGATATTCACATGCTATAGGCGTCAATACGGGTTTCGGTGGTAGTGCCGATACAACAACCGATGCCGTTAACAAGCTTCAAGAGAATTTACTGCAGATGCTCCAGGCTGGTGTTAAATTAGACGGATCAAGCCCGGTCCTTGCAGAGAATCAAAAAGAGGATGTCCTGCCCCTGGACGACCCAACTTCCGCGACCATCATGCCGGAGTCTTGGACCCGAGCAACCATGATTATCCGATTGAACTGCCTTGCTTCAGGATATTCCGGCATCCGGCAGTCCGTCTTGGACGTGCTGCTCCAGATGATCGAGCAACATATCACGCCCCGAGTTCCGCTGAGAGGCAGTATATCTGCCTCTGGTGATCTCAGCCCACTATCGTACATCGGCGGAGCAATGCAAGGGCACCCATCTATCCATGTTTGGAAGCGTGGTCAAAACTCCGGTTGCCAAGTGACAGGGGCTGATGTCGCCCTCAAAGAGAGTTCAATTCCAGTTGTCTGTCTGGATGCGAAAGAAGGCCTGGCAATAGTGAACGGAACGGCGACCTCTGCAGCCGTGGGTGGCCTGGCTTTGCATGAAACGCTTGGCCTCGCTGCTTTGAGTCAAATCCTTGCAGCAATGAGTGTCGAAGCTTTGCACGGTACTAGCGAAAGCTTCGATCCGTTTTTCGCCAGAGTTCGCCCTCATCCCGGACAAACGACGGCTGCCAGTAATCTGTGGAACTTTCTTTCCAACTCGAAATTGCTCAATGACGGGGATGGATTCGGACAGGGAAGCCTACGACAAGATCGGTACTCGATTCGCACATCTGCGCAATGGATGGGTCCGCTTCTTGAAGACTTGGAGCTAGCATATCAGCAGATCTCGATGGAGCTGAATTCGGTAACGGACAACCCACTCATTGATACGGCTGGTGATAATGCTCGCATCCTACACGGTGGCAATTTCCAAGCGAAGTCAGTCACGAGCGCCATGGAGAAGACCAGGCTGGCCGTTCAATCCATGGGCCGTATGCTCTACGCGCAATGCACTGAGCTGATTGATTCATCCAAGAACAACGGATTACCTCCTAATTTGTCTGCCGACGAGCCTAGCGTGTCCTTCACGTTCAAAGGTGTAGATATCATGATCGCTGCGCTACAGTCGGAGCTAGGATTCCTCGCAAATCCTATCGGGAGCCACGTTCAGACAGCCGAAATGGGAAATCAGGCCTTGAACTCGCTCGCGCTGATATCGAGTCGCTACACCTTGGACGCGGTTGCTGTCTTGTCGCAAATGGCAGCTGCCCATCTCGTGGCTATCTGCCAGGCTCTCGACCTCCGTGTGATCAATATCCAGTTCATGCGAACTCTAGAACAGGACTTTATGAAATTGTTCAGCGACAGCTTCCAAGTTCACGCTGTGCCCAGCAGGAACCTCCTGGCTCTCTCCAAGGAAGCCTGGGACGCCTTTGCCAAGCAAGTGGAACAGCTACAGTCCGTTGACTCGTGCAGTCGATTTCATCAAGCCGCTCGCGCCATTCTGCCTATTTTCATTACGGCATTGCCACCAAGCACTTCCTCCCCAGGCATTATTCAATCATGGATAGATACCCTAGGCTCTCAGGCGGCTGAGACATATCGCAAGACACGTGAGGCATATTGTAGGTGTCCAGATGCCACCCCTTACCTTGGGGAGGCGTCGCGGAAGATGTATACATATGTTCGACAGAACTTGAAGCTTCCCTTCATAGTCGAGGGCACACTCTGGCGCCCAAGCGATTCCGCCAAGACACCGGATGGCGAAGCGACGCCACCGCCCCTCCCTACGATGGGCGACGTGGTTGGCATCGCGTATGATGCCATTCGCCGCGGGTCTTTGTATACGGTAGCGGTGGAGTGTATCCGGGATGCGGAGCAAGACATGGCGCAGTGCCCTTACTGCTTTGTCAAGTAGGTAATATGCGCATCGAGGACAAGCGGCACTGGAGTTATCTGATGGCTATTTAGAGTATACAAGTATGCCCTGCAAGTATCGACGGTAGTAGTTACTTTGTTTTTTCTTTCTGTCTATTCTACCATGTCATATTATCTTAGAATCTGTTGAATTGATCTTATAGCATATTGTTCATCTACGAAGTATTGAATGGCACAGAAGAATGGCGAGCGATGGATGGCCCCTACCTTTGCACTGACAACATGAGGCAAATACCTCCACTATGGCACGTTACGAGAAACCCGGACAAAGAATAACAGACGTCTGTTATCGCGCCGATCGGGCCAGACTAATGCAGCCTGAAAGATGCCAACCGGCAATGAATAAGTCGAGATGGCCACACCTGGGCAAATTCAGTGGCTGCAGGGGGCCGGGCCAGATGCTGTCATCGCTGCCGGCAATCGTGCAATCGCCCTCCTCTCTTCTCCATCCATCTCCTCCTCACGGCACGCTTAACTCCAGTTACTGAACTAGCATCCGTGAACATTTACTGTAATGTACTCTGCAATTAAGCATTTACTCTCCTGCTATGACCAAGGTCAGCCAATATACAACCGTGGTTCGTCTTGATCTCAACCAAGTTACTAATGCAGATATAGTTCTCGCATTCAACAACCATCATAAAAGCAGGTACACTCTTGCTGTCCAACCACAGAAACCGAAATACACAATACTAACCCTGCCTCTTCTTCCCCGCAAATCGGAAGCTAATCAAGCACCTCATCCAGCTTATCATGTCATCTTCACCCCAAGCATGCATGATAATTGCCGGCAAGAATCACGCCATTGCATCCCGCAATGAGCATCGTGCATGTACCACCTCAACGTTCCAGGTCCGCTGACGTTGAGAGAGTTATATTAGAGCTGCAGGGTATGTCTAAGATATAGTTGTTTACGAGCGGAGATTTGACTTTCCGACACTTACTCCTGCACGATGGGTTTCTTACCCTTCACAACGAAAGCAGAGGAAGCGGGCGCGACCTCGGAGCAGGCTAGCGACACCCTCAGTGTTATCGACGATGGCGATCTACAATATACGGTCGATGGGGGTGCTAACTCCTCCAAGCGCACGTACCAGGAGGCGAGTGGTGCTCCGATCGAGTCAAAGTCACCTCTGGGATACTCCGTAGGTGCGGTGACAGTTATTTTCCTGAACTTGAGTAAAATGATTGGAACAGGTGTTTTTTCGACGCGTGAGTACTACTCCTCCCATCTTTCCGAGGCCAGTTGAGCTTTGGGTGTGGACGACAATGCTAACTGCTCGTATCAAGCATCTACTGTTCTCGACGGTGCCGGATCTGTCGGTCTGAGTCTCTTCTACTGGGTCATCGGCTTCTTCATGGCGGCGAGCATGCTCTCCGTGTATATGGAATTCGTGTCATATTTTCCCAGTCGGTCTGGCTCGGAAGTCGTATATCTGGAACAGGCGTATCCCAGACCGCGATACTTCTTTCCGACGGTGTTTGCGATGCAGACTGTGCTGTTCTCATTCAGTAGCAGTAATGCTGTTGGTATGATGTCTGATCGCGCAGTAGATGCTCAGAGCTAATGTTGTTTGTACTACAGTACTTGCAGAATATTTGTTCAAGCTCGCGGACGCGGATACAACTGCATGGAAAGAAAAAGGTGTTGCCGTGGCGGCATATACCGTGGCTGTGTTGAGTATGTTCTGCCCTGGGGAAAGTCATGGACTGGACTAATTATGCCAGTGCTGGCTTTCAACACGAAATGGTCTCTTTGGGTGGCCAATGCTATCGGTGTCGTCAAGCTAGTCACTTTGATCTTGTACGTGTACTACGAATCTCTCTAGTTTATCGAGACTGACGAAACAGTATTGGTATCGCTGGCCTCGTCGTCCTGGGAGGTCATACCCCAGTGAAGGATCCCCTGGTCAACTTCCGCGATGCTTTCTCAGGAACCTCTGGCGCATCGGTGTACGGTGCCACCAATGCTTTGGTCAAGGTGATGTTTTCGTATGCCGGGTACGAGAATGCTTGCAACGTTGTCAATGAGGTCAAGGTAGGTGACTATTCTTCGTGTCTGTTGTTACTGCACTAACGTGTTATATCATAGGATCCTGTCAAGACCCTTCGCTGGAGTGCCCCTGTTGCTCTCTTTCTTACAGCCGTGCTCTACATCCTCGCCAACATTGCTTACTTCTCCGCTGCGAGCAAGGAGGAGATCCTAAATTCGAATGTCACAGCAGCGAGTCTCTTCTTCGAAAAGGTCTTTGGCACATCAGGGGCTTCTAGGGCTCTAAACGTCTTGGTCTGTCTCAGCGCGCTGGGCAATCTTCTGGCTGTGCTGATCGGTCAGTCCCGTATGTTGCGAGAGTGTGGACGGTATGTCATATTCCATCAAGTCAGCTGGTGTCGTTCTAACATGTGTCTCGTACAGACAGGGTGTTCTTCCCTTTACGAGATTCTGGACTTCGACTCGTCCATTTGGAACGCCCCTCGGGCCCTACTTTATCAAGTGGGCACTCACAGTCATCATGATTATCGCGCCTCCGGCTGGTGATGCCTTCAACTTCAGTACGTACCTGCCTGCTACCGTTTCGCACTAATCTAATCTATAAATTAGTTGTCGACTTGAGCATCTATCCCTCCAACGCTTTCAACTTCCTTCTGGCAATAGGTATCCTCATCACTCGACACCGGCGCCAGCGACTCAACTTCCCTCCATCCGGCTACCGAGCCTGGACTATATCCGTCTACTTTGCCATTCTCTCGAGTCTGTATATGCTCGTTGCGCCATGGTACCCCCCGTCCACCGGAGCAGATGGTGGAGACGTCAGCTTCTGGTATGCGACGTACTGTGTCGTGGGTATTGCAATGTGAGTTACCGTTTGATAAACCTCTGTAGTTTCATCATACTCGAACAGCATCGCTAATAACATATCACATCCATAGTATCGCCGCTTGCGGAGTCTACTATTACCTCTGGGTCAAGATCCTCCCCCGGGTAGGCGGTTACGAGCTTCGTCAGACGATTATCAATGTCGGGGGAGATGCGACTGCACATAAGTTGGTCAGGGTGCCAAAGGCGCAGGTGGAGGAATGGGATCGGGAGCATGATGCTTCAGGAAGAGTGAGGAGGAGACATCATATTACTGAGGTGGTAACAAAGACAGAGGAGTCAGCTTAAGCAGGAAAGGGGGTTGATCGCATAGTGTTATAGATTTATGGTGTGTAATTTGAGTTTCTGTTCGAGAAATTACCGACTTGTGCTGCTGTGCGCCGTAAGTTGTTGAGCCGAATTTTTAGGTTTATGGAGTATGATACCGCAATAGCTAATATTGAGCCGATGGGTAACCAACAGAAATGTATTCTGCCATCACATGATGTATCATGTGCCAGCTTATGTGTTCGTCCTCTTCCATTTGTCTAGTTGGAGAGCTGCAACCACCGACCGATTCCTGGCCAGTAATGTTAAATCACTGGCTCTTATTTTGCTCAGATTATCGTCAGACGATGGGGGTTGGAGAGGTTTGTGAGGAGGGTGTTGGGGGAGATGAGTGGGTGAGAGGATTTGCTTGATTGATTGATTGATTGATTGATGGGTTTGGGTGTGAGAGAATCTTCGGTTGTCTTGTTACTTATTACGGTGTTGGGACTATTGCTTGGTGTGATGTGATAGGCGGAGTTGGGGTTGGGAATACTCGGTTGGGGGTTGATATTGGCAGACATGATGGGGTCTTTTGCTCAAGTTCTCGGGTATGTATTATTTTCTGTTTAAAAAAGGAGGCTTTTTGGTGTTTAATTCTTGCATGAGAGGTTCTCTGGTATATTCGTTCTAGTCTCAGTTCTTTTTTTACCTGACTGCATGGTTGTAGTAGTTGTCATCATATTCATTATTTATTACAGAGAGGACCAACATCCTCCTCCAAATCTAACAAACCAACAATACCATCAATAAACAAATGAATAAAAAGGTTTCAATCACAAAAACAACCACATCCCCACCCTCTTCACCTTCCCCATGACCCCCTTCTCACTCCTGAACCCTCCATCCCCATCCCCATTACTCCTACCCACCCCATCATCATCATTATCCACCTCCCTCCCCCCCACAACCTCCAAATTCCACCGATCCGTAACCAAATCCATAACCTCCAACTTGACCAACTTGGTCCTCTTAACCAACTTCCAAAACAAAAACATGACCAACATAATCGGCAACTCAATATAATACGAGACGAAATCCACGGCCTTGAAATGCGGACTAAAGCAGGACCAACCCTGCACCAGAATCAAAATAACATTCAGTCCGATAGCGAAAATCGGTCCCACGGGATACGTCCAGTTCTTGTACGGGAGGAGATGTTCCAGGTTTTGTTTGCGGATGGCGGCGCGGAAGCGTAGGGAGGCGAGGCCGATGAAGGTCCAGGAGAGTTGGTTGGAGACGCCGACGATACTATTACATAGTAATATTAGTATTTATTACTAGAATGGTATGGTATGGTATGGGGTGATGGTGGTGGTGGGGATGAGCATACTTCTGCAGCCACGACCATAGTTGGCCTGCGCCAATGTAACTCGCTCCGAAGCAAAGTCCACTGATTACGGAGGTGGCGAGGACCGCTACCCAGGGGACTTGGAAGCGGTTCAGGTGGCCGAAGAATCGCGGGGCATAGCCGTCTACGGCGAGGGTGTACAGGAGACGGGAGCCCGCGAAGAGGGCGTGGTTGGCGGCAGAGATGACGCTGGTCATGATCACGGCGTTGATGAAGCTGCCGGCCACGGCACTGCCGGCTTCGACGAAGACGATGGTGAAGGGGCTGGTCGCGGTGGTTTCGGAGGATAGATTTGGGTAGTTGTAGGGGACGTCGAGGCCGATGAGGACGATGGAGACAATGTAGAAGAGAATGATGCGCCAGAAGACGTTGCGGACGACTCGGGGGAGGTTCTTGGCGGGGTCTTTGGTTTCGCCGGCGGTGATGGCGATGGATTCGGTGCCGCCGCTGTGAATGGGTTAGTATGGGAGTTGATGAGAAGGTGGCGGGTAAGCAAGCGTACTAAGCGAAAGAGGCAGTGACGAAGACAGACGCGAAGCCGCCGATGCCTCCGACGAAGGGGGCTTCGCCAGTGTAGAAGTACTTGTTGCCGATGTATTTGTGTTGGGTGTTTGCGCCGCAGTTGACGACGATGCCGAGAATGATGAAGATCTAGCTTTGATTAGTATGTTGTCGAAATTTGGTAGAAGTAGGGGACTTACGATAATAGTCACCACCTTGAGAAGACTAAGCCAGTACTCAACCTGGAAGATAATTAGCATATGAAAGTCTCCTAGATAGATGCAACAAACCTCGCCATAAACCTTGACCGACAGCATATTCAGCGCAATAACCACAACCAAAAAGATCAAGCTTATTGCCCATCCCGGGAAATTATCCGTCCAATACTCCAGCAGCAACTGAAGGGCAATGATATCCGACGCCGTCGACACCGCATCATTGAACCAGTAGTTCCAGGTCAGAGCAAAGCCCAAAGCATCATCAACAAAGCGACTAATTCATCATCAGCATACGATCATTCATAATCTCAAGGCCCAACTACTCACCCAGCAAAAGTACAAAACGAACCCGCAACAGGGATAAACGCCGCCATCTCACCCAGCGACAACATGGTGATAAACACAATGACACCACAGATGATATACGAGATCAACATCGACGCCGGCCCACCAGTGGCCAGCGACTTACCCGTTCCCAGGAACAGACCCGTACCAATGGTGCCGCCGATGGCGATCATCTGCACCTGGCGGGGAGAGAGCTTCCGGGCCAGCTTATTCGCATTGACGTATGGAATCTCTGGCTCCAGATAATCGGTAGCTAAGGTGCTGGGGTCCTTGGCATTACGCTCAGCCATGGGCTCGCCAGGAGCCATAGGGCGTTGCTTTTCGATGTCATGAACACCCATGGTGGTGGTGGTGGTGGTGATCTAGACGCTAAGAGGGCCATGTTAGCTTAGCTATGTCCTACAATTGGAGATATCGGAAGTATGCCGAGACTCACCACTGATTTAAAATTGATCCAGTCAATCGCAGCCTTATAGTTGAGCTCTTCCCGAATAGGCAAATGTTGGAGACTGGGAGGAGAGACACCACGTGATCCACCGTGGAGAAGCTCAAAAGCCGACTGTCAAAAGTGGCAGCTGAAACTACTAGTGATCTAAGTTGTAGATACTAGCAGTAGTGTCTGCATGGCACGCATGAACGAAAAAAAAGATGTTATCAAAGGGAAGAGTGCATCCCCGCGAATGACACTCATGTCACCATCACATCCTGACGCTGAAAATTTGCTCTTTAGCGGATGGCGTGCTCGATTGGTGTTACGTACAGCAAATGGAAGGGCGAGGGAATCCTTGGGGATGAAGAGACGGTTTGCCGACTGCCGCCTGGGGTTCTCCACCCGCTCGGCTAACTTTAAACCATACATCCATAGTACAAGAGGCAGCTTTGATCTACTATATTCACTACATATCACCACATTCAATCAATCAATCAATCAAGGAATTTCCCCCAAAGATAATTGTATCGTGCTATGTACATGGCTATGCGGCCGGAATCTCATAAACTTTTGACACTCTCCGCTGATGAACGATGAAAGAAACTGAGACAGAAAGGGATATATCCACCAAAGACACAATAATGTATACACTTCAAAATCACCCCAGCAAGCCCGCGGCCAGTGACTCCAGATCTTCCAGAGTCTCGATCTGCTCCGGTGCTTTGCCAGCTGGTTGAGACTTCTTGGCCTTCTTGGGCTTGGGCTCCTCCTCCTCGCTCGCTTCGTCTGCAAAGGAAACCCGCGCCTTCTTGCTGGGCCGCAGTACTTCCTCGTCTTCGTCTGAGGCGAGCCCGCCCTCCTTGTACGGAATCTGGACCAAATCCCCTCCTTCTTCCTCCATGGCAAGAAGCTCGCGCTCGCGGGCCTTGCGCTTCTCCTTCTTCTCGCGCTTCTTCTGCTTGGCGACTTCCTTGTCCTCCAGATCCGCTTGCCGAGTGCGCTCCGCCTCCTCCGCCAGGAACTTCGCCTGCTGCTCCTTGGCGTCGCCCTTGGCCTTGAACTGTTCTTCATCCTCCATTTCGTAGATCTCATGGGCGTTGCCCTCATCATCGTAGATAAGCTTGGTACCCTTGCCCTTGAACTTAAGCAACTTCTTCTTCGACTTGAGCAGCTTCTCACGACGTTTAGAGTCGATGACCAGGGCATCCTTGCCATCAAGGTGTACCACCTTGGGTCCCTTCTTCTCCGTTCCGTCCTCTGCATCCTCCTCATCCTCAGAGCTAGATCCTGCGACATCCAGGTCCTTGTCTCCGGCCGCGAAGCGACGCTTGACGGACAGGAAGTCGTCATCCTCATCCGCATCGGCAGTAGCCTGGTTCGTCTCCACAATCGTGCCGTCGTCGTTGATAAGCTTGTGGTAATGGTCGGCCAACACGTCCTGGTTCCGACGCTCGAACATGCGGTCATACTTCGTCCGCACCTGCGTCTCGTCCTTCTTGGTCTTCTTCTTCTCGCCCTCTTCGCCAGACTCGTCATCGCTGGACAGGTATGCCGTAGCACGTGGCGCGTTCTTCCGCTCCTTGGTATCGTCACCCTTGATGAACTTGATGCGGGGTGCACCAGGAAGACCCATGCTGCCCGCAAACTCATCCAACTTCAGCTCCTTGATGTTGAAGATTTCCTTGTCCTTCTGAACATAGACCGACTTGGCGTAGGAGATGAAGGCCTTCTGGCCCAGGTACTTCAACTCGGGGTCCTTGAAGCACATATTCTGCAGCTGATCTTTGATGCTCTGTTGCTTGTTGGCCTTGATGTTGATGCGTTCAACCTGAACCTTCTTCTGCTCCAGACGCTTCAACATGCCCTTCTCCTCACTAGGATCCAGGAAGAGCACGGCACGACCATCGCGCTCGTATCTTGCTGTACGACCAACACGGTGAATGTATGTATCAGCATCTTCGGGACAGTCAAGCTGGATAACCCAGTCGACGGCCGGAAAATCCAGACCACGTGCAGCAACATCAGTAGCAAACAGAACCGCATGTTGCGCCGATGAGAATTTGGTTGTAATATCAAGTCGACCACCCTGCTTCTGACGTCCGTGGAGGTGCATCAACGGGATACCGGGTTGCATGTGACGGAAAGATTCGTAGACAAAGCGCACCTGCTTTCCTGACGACAAGAACACGATCGTCTTGGACTTCAAGTTGCTTCGGATAAAACTCCAGAGAACATCGAGTTTCTGCGGAAGGGGCGTAACGACGTAGTGTTGCTGAAGCTTGGACGGCGTCGCGGAGGAGGCCGTTTCATGGACAGCCACATATTCGGGATCCTGCAAGCTCAGTCGAGCCAAGTCCGACACCTTCTTCGTCTGTGTAGCACTGAAAAGTAACGTCTGGCGCTCCTTCGGAAGATGACCGATAATGGCGTCCACCGTCTTTTGGAAACCCATATCCAAAATGCGATCCGCCTCATCCAACACGAGCATCTGCAGATTGTGCGTCTCAAAGAAAGAGGTCTGATCCAAGTGCTGCAGCATACGACCAGGCGTACACACCAGAATATTCATCCGTCCCAACCTCTCTTGCTCCTCCCGCAGACTCTTCCCACCAATAACCAGACCGGCGGAGAACGTATGGTAGCGACCGACTTTACGGAGGACTTCGAAGATTTGAATCGCGAGTTCGCGGGTGGGAGACAGAACGAGAGCACCCAATCCATCGTGCTCTGACCATTGCTTGCGGTATAGGTTTTCCAGAATGGGAATCAGGAAGGCCAACGTTTTGCCGCTTCCCGTCTTTGCGGCACCCAGAATATCGCGGCCCTTGAGCGCATGGCTGATCGCACGGGACTGAATGTCGGTCAAAGTTTTGTAGTGCGACGAGGCAAGTCCGGACGCCGTGGGTTCAGACAAAGGCAGATCGGTGAATTGTCCGATGGTTTCCTTGACATCCAGATCTTCAACCCTCTTGATGAGAGAGTTCAAATCTTCTTGGACACGCTTGCGCTTGAGGTTACCGCCGCGCTGAGCCCTTGAGTGTTTGCCATTGCGGGAACCGTTCATCGGAGCCATGATGGGCTCGTCCAGATAAAATACTCACGTAAATGAGCACCAACAGAAGAAAGCAGACAAACGAAAGTGAACTGGTTGCTGGGGAGAGAAAGCGAATCTCGAAGAAAGGCGCGGGCGGTGAAGCAACTTTTTTCTCTTCGGAGTTTAACCTCGCGGGTTCCTGCTGACTCATCGCCGCGATAAGACGGCGCTTATCGGCGTGTGCCTTTCAGCAGCCATGCGACAGTCCCGGCCCGGCGAATTCCTTCATTCACTCCCCAACCTCTGTCACCATGGCCGACGATGAGCAAGATGCTTTGGACGCGCTTGAGCGTGAGGCCTCTGATTTTGTCAAGGTATGCTGCCTCGGAACATTTCCACTACAATGACACCCAGACTAACTTTAGACAGGATGCAGAAATTGACCGCATTCGGAAGGCGTTCTCCTTAGACGCGTGAGTTACCGGCCTCCTATTATACCTACACTGCATGCTGCTATAGACCTATGAAGAGGCTGACGGACGGAATATTCTACCAGTTACGCGGTCCTTGATCTCCAACCAGGTGTCCCCGAATCCGACATTAAAGTCCAGTACCGCAAAAAGTCCCTTCTCATCCACCCCGATAAGACGAAGAATCCGGCCGCCCCCGATGCTTTTGATCGCCTCAAGAAAGCGCACACGGCGCTTATGGACGAAAAGTCGCGCACATACTTAGACGAATGTATCGCGGACGCGCGACGACTTTTGATCCGCGAACACAAGTACTCGCTCGACTCGGAAGAGTTAAAGACGGACGAATTTAAGAAAGAATGGCGCCAAAAGACAGTGCAGGTACTCTTAGAAGAGGAGGCACGGCGGCGAAGGCAAGCCAAGGCCAAGCTTCAGGAAGAAGGTCGGGAGAGGCGCAAGGAAGAAGAGGAGTTGGAGGCGCGGAAGCGGAAACGGGACCAGGATAAAGCGTGGGAAGATAGCCGTGAGGAGCGCATAGGCAGCTGGCGAGATTGGCAGAAGGGGGTGAAGAAGGATGGGGACAAGAAGAAGAAAAAGAAGATGAAGGTATTGGGGTGAGACTGGGCAGTGAAGCCAGTTGCCTGCAAGACTTGCAGTGGTAGAAGTATTTCAACTTGGTCAACTGGCGTTGAGTGGATATATTTGCACCCGGGACGGACTGATGGTTATTATATCACTATGATTATATTGCTATTTCCCACTATTGTTCTTTCATACCATTATTTATATTAGTAGCTGCTGTCACATTACTCATAGCCCTCAAACTTTTGACATGCAATGTCATCCCCTCAAATATAAACTCAGCTGTTTACTTGATTTCCTGCATGGAATAACAATATCAGCCGCGATAAGAAAGCGGTCAAGGCGGATGCGGGGCAGAAAGAACATTCCAGCGCCTTTTTTTATTATCTTCCCCTCCATCGCTCGGGTTCATGTGGCCTCTCCGCAATCATCCGTCGGGTCTGAGAGCTGCAAATTTGAGAATTGTTTGGAATTGCATGTGTCTCATCCCTATATATTTGTCCCTCTTATCTTTACCATTCTCGTCCGATAGAAAGACATACACCCTTGCGTTGCATCCCCGGACTTTTCCCGACAGATAAACCACACAGCCAGCCGGCTTACATCAATCCCTCTCTTTCCCCCCCGCGAGTCATCGCATCCACTCCATACCCTAGCTACTAACTAGTACTACTCCAACCACCTCAACCTCACTTCTTCCCTTCCCTTCTTCCTTTTCTTACCCATATATATATACACACATACACATACACACCAACACCCTCCTACCACGAC